ATGTATGTATGTATGTAAGTCTGCATGTATGCAATTTACTTACACTTTTTCATGCAGGCTTCAGAATTGCACGATTTCCAAACTTGTTTTCAGCGCCACGACGCTGGCTGGTCGGCTAGTGTCCTTTGCTGCCACTAACTGCAATTAGGGCTTCTTTGGTTACAGCTGAAGGCTTCCGCAACTGCTACTGCACCTACGGCGGCGAGGACGACGACGGCGAATACAAGAATGAGCACCAACAGTATGGCTGCGAGGGTCCACACCAACAGCATCAACAACAACCAGCAGCAGCAGCAGCAACAGAAGCAACAGCGGAAGCAGGATTACCAGTAGTCGGTAGTAGCAGCACCGACAGCAGCAGCAGCAGCAAAAGGAGAAACAACACTGCTGTTGTTGCTGCACCAGCACTAGCACCACGTCCACCATTACTGAACCTTTGTTGAAACCATTCCAACTACCTTCACGAAAGGACTGCGACTACCCAAGGCCGAAGCTCCGGGAAAGCCTCACTCTGGAATCTACAGGCAAGTCGTGCTTGACAAAACAGTATACTCTAGGGAAATTGTCATAGTTTTAAAACATATGAACATACATTAAATTATAACAGGTTACATACGATCCATCACGATGTTCGGTGTTTCCCTGTGAAACAAACTGGGGACCCTGCTGGGAAGCTGTCTTGAAGCAGATGGGAAGACGCCAAGACCCATGCACGGTGCCCTGCCAGCACTTGGTGATTGGATTTAGGGTGTTGGGTTTTGTAGGGGCCTTAATAATTAGAAAATTTGGGGGTACAGGATGCTATAATTGTAATAAGGAACCCGCCGCAAAATAGTACAGGTTATTATTTAGGCCCCTACATTACATCTCTTTACGAATTGAGACCGAGCAGGTTGCGATTGGTAGATCAAGGCTCCCACAAAGTGTCCACTGTGATCAAGGCCACCATGACCAATTCCTACGTTAGGGTTGAGGATTTAGGGTTTAGGGTCGAACCTTTTGACAATCAAGGCAGCATGTTCGGCTTGAATAAGGCCAACCCCAACCAAGCAAAAGAGCATAAAGGGAGTTATTGAGGGACCTGGAACCCCCCAAAGACAATTTGTGCCTCAGCGTCCCATCGCCGTCCGCCATGCTCACGGATGTCCTCCATCTGGTGCCGCCTCAGGCTGCAAACCCTGAAACGAGACCCTGCAACCAAAAGCCTGATGGCCTTACAGCAGCGTCTCGTGAAACCTCAACCTGTGACCGCCCATGAGCATATCATCAGATTCATGGAGATGTGTGCGCAACCCTGGTTTTATTGCCGGTACCGCCCACCCCAGACTCCAAATGAGACCACTGACAGCCGGAAGTTTACACCTAAAAGCTCCCTGTGAGCGGAACCTTGAAACTTGACTGCAAACCCTTAGAACATTAACCCTAAACCCGAAGGCCCCAGGACCCCAAGACGCTAAACCGAAACTCAAGACCCTAAAACCCTGAACCCTAAACCCTAAACCCTAAACCCTAAACCCTAAAACCCTGAACCCGAAAGCAAGGAATTTTTGGCAAGTGTCGAGTACTCCTCGGCATCCATCTCGCCTGGCTCCTGCGATTAGAATGTTGTGCGGTCTTAGACAGTTCTCATAGAGCTCCATATCAGGGGGGGGGCTCTTTTTGTGTTCGTGGAGGACCTTGAGGGTTGGAAGCTCTGTAAGTGTGCCGAGAGTTTTTCTCCGCTCTTCTCATGTCATCCGCCACAGAGAGAAACAGTGCGAAGGCGAGAGCAACAGCGAGCAAGCAAGAAGCAAGCAAGACAAAACCATAGTTCACGATAGTAATGTGTGTTTATATATATATATATATATGCACATATAATACTAATACCGTATAGTTCATGTATTTTTTGTACAACTACAATCATAATCATCAGGAAGGAAAAACCAGATTCAACGGAGGGAGTTGGAGAAGTATATACCGGGCTTCTTTCGCACTGAATGCTAACCCTTGCCCGAATGTTTCGGTGGTTTTTGGGCGTTACAAGGCTTCAAAGCCGGTGACTACCTCAAACCATGAAGCACTCTGCCGAGCTTTCAAACTCCTCCGCTGGTGGTTCCTCTCCATCCGGAGGCGCTGCCGCACCGTCCTTCCCAGGAAAGCATGCAGGGTTTCAGGAGCCACACTCAACAGCCTTGCACATTCTGGGGGAAACAATGATAACAAGTCTTACGCCAGCGTTCAGAATGTTCAAAAGCAGCTGTCACAAGCAGAAAAATCACTATAGCAACCACAACAACAGTCGAGGCGGCCACACGGCCACAGCAACAATAACAGCACGCAAGGCAGGACCGACAGCGCGCATTGTGATCAGCAACAGATCTTGCAACCGCAACCTCAGTTCTCGAATTGACACGAACACTCAGCAAGAGCAATGAGAACCACAGTTATAGTTATTCTTACCATCATATCAATAACGACAAGACCTAGTTCTCAAAAACAACGATGATAAGAACGTGTACTTACCTTTGTAGCACGCAGCCCCTACATCATAGACGAACCGAAACCTAGAGTTACCATTACTATGTAACAAATGTCTTATAGATGTTACGAAACGAAACCTAGAGCTATCTTTAATATGCAACCACCTATATTATAGACGTTAAGAAAGCCTAGAAGGCGCAGCAAACAGTACCTATAGTATCCATTGTAGTTCTTTTTTCGGGTTTAACCAACTGTTTTTCAGGATCCCATATTAAGGTGACCCCAACCCGGAACTACAATGGAGACTCTAGGTAGTATGATGGAAATAAGTCCCCCAAACTTGTATTGGATGAGTTATTTTACAGTTAGGATCCTATACTTGTGAGAAACTACGGCAACCAAAAACAAGTTCTAAACCCTAAACCCCTAAACCCTAAACCTTAAACCCTAAACCCCTAACCCCAAACCCCTAAACCCGAGGGTCTAGGTAGTCCCAGAGCGTCGTCCTCGGGTGCTTCGGGCTTCTCTTCCACAGGCATCTTCAGCAAGTCTACATACTCCTGGGTGCAGGGCTTTAGGATTTCAGGTTAGGGGTTTTGGGGGTTGAGGGTTCAGGACTTTAGGGTTCAGGACTTTAGGGCTTAGGGGTTTAGGGTTTAGGGGCTTAGGGGTTTAGGGTTTAGGGTTTAGAGGTTTAGGGTTTATGGGTTTAGGGTTTTTGGGTTTAGGGTTTAGGGATTTCAGGGTTTAGGGACTTTGGGGTTTAGGGATCTAAGGTTTAAGGTTGGGGGTTCAGCGTTAGCTTCGGCTTTAGGAGTGTTTTGAGGTTTGGAGGCTTCGGGTTTCGAGTTTGGGTTCAGGCTCTTAAAAGGTTTGGGTTTAGGGTTTAGGGTTTAGGGTTTAGGGTTTAGGGTTTAGGGTTTAGGGTTAAGAGGTTTAAGTATATATAATGTAGGGCCTTAATAATTGAAATAAGGGTTCCTTTAAAGGGGTC